TTTTTTTTGGTTTTTCTCTGGTACCGGGAACCGAACTCACGACCTTGCGCTTGCCAGGCAGGCGCTTTGCCGCTGAGCTAAATCCCCAGCCCCGATGTCTGACTTTGAGACATCACAAAAATAAATCTCAGATCCTCAGATGAAAAACAAAACAAAACCAAATATCTAGTGACTTTCCAACAATCTGGAACTTGTCCCCCAAAGTGAGTTTAGGTTTTTGTTGTTGTTGTTGTTTTAGTTTTGTGTAGGGCTTTTTTGTTTTACTTTTTGTTTTTTATGTTGTTTGAGGGTTTTTTCTTTTGTTTTCTATTTTCTTTTGTTTTCTAGGGATTGAGCCCAGGGCCTTTGCATTGAGCTACATTTCCAGTTTATTGATTTATTACTTTTTAGACAGGATCTTGCTAAGTCACGCTCAAACCTGCAGTCCTCCTGTTTCATCATCCCAGAGTGGTGGGATTACAAGCATGTGCCACCACACCTGGCATAATCATTAGTTTTTAATAACTTAACAGTTTAGAAAATAAACTAACAGCTGCCTATTTAATCTTTACAAAAACTCTGTAAGATAGGTATTATTATCTCCATTTACGTAAAAGGAAATTGAGTTACAGAGAAGTGAATTCATTTGTTCATTAAGACACACAGGAGCCGGGCATGGTGGCTCAGGCTTGTAATCCCAGCACTGGGGAGGCTGAGGCAGAAGGATCACCATAAGTTCAAGGCCAGCCTGAACTGCATAGTGAGACCCTGTCTCAAAAAAAAAAAAAAAGAAAGACATATAGGAATTTGCCAGTAACTGCTGTGGGACCAGGAGGCTTGGCATTTTTTAATTAATTCACTAATTCAAGTCAGATGAATAGAATGTGCAAGGCAGGCAGCTTGGAGCACTGGGGCATAAAAGATGAATCAGACACATCTCCAGGGCTCACCGTCTTGAGGATCACAGTGATAGGTGTAGATAACAAGCAATAAAGAGACTGAGTCGGATAGGAGTTCCAAGGAGAGGGCACTAAGGGAGAATCCGTGGGCCAGGGGTTTGGTCTGGGTGGGCATTGGTGAGGTTGGGGAGGAATGCAGGTGGGACTTAGGACAAAGGGAATGGCAAGAGAAAAGTGAGGGAGGGTGGAGGAAGAGAAAGAGAGAGAGAATATGAGATATAAGGGCACATATAGATTTTTGAGGCTTTAGTAAAGATCTAAGAGGAGGCATCCATTTAGCAATTGGGTATGGAAGTCCTGAGCAGGAAGAGGTGAGAAAATCAGGAATAAAAATACTCTCAAGTAATCTGTATAGAGGCATTGAGAGACAGAAAAATGGAGAGAGAAGAGGAGGAAGAAGAAAGAGGATGGTGAAGAGGAGGGGAAAAGCAGAAAGGAAAAGTGAGGAGAGAGGAGAGAAAGGAAGAAGGGGAAGCCAAAGGAATTTGGAAAAGACAACATCTGAAATGTAAAAGAGGAATCAAATAGAATCCTGGATATCAGCTATCAGAAGAAACTTGACAACACCCCTCAGCCACACAATGGCTGCCGCCCCTGGAAAAGATGGAGGAGGTAAAAGATGATAGAGATTTCATTTATTTTTTAGGACATAAAATGTGGGAAGTAGGAAGTCACCAATAATAACTGAGGTAGCAGTTTGAGTCAACCTGGGAAGGGTGTGAAGGGTGAAAAGTCGTGGAACTGAGGAGTGGGTTGGTAAGAAGTGAAGAAAATCTCAAGAGATTTGAAAGGGGCTCTGAGGAGATAGGAAATTTGTTCTCAGAGCTTTTGATTCATTTGGTGGTCCCTGGGCAAGATGGAGGCTCAGGACCATGGCTTCCACCCATTCTGTGGAACTGGGTTGGAGCTGTCACCTCAGCACTCACTCTTCTTTGCCTCATCAGCACGGTGTTCCAGACAAGTAACCTGACGTGGAAGACTCCTTTTTTTTTTTTTTTTTTTTGGAGCATTGTTTGGAATTTTGTAGCAAGATGAACACTTCGAAGCAACACAAGCACACCTAATGGCCTCCTGAAAAGCCAAGTACTTTTCTAAAACTTCTCTCCCTATAGGAAACATGTTCTGATTCCTTCTTTGTTAATGTTCCCTTGTCCTGAGGCAGCTCAGGAGCCCTCAGTAAGCTCTTGAATATGAGCTATAATTAAGGTCACCACTGTTATTATTCCTCAGCTTCACATCCTTTTCCACTCACTAGACGTGATGTTAAGTGACTTTGGATTCTTTTAAACTAAAAGCTGCCTCATAAGCCCAAAACTTGGCTACCTGACCAAGCAGATTCAAAAGGTAGTTCTCACTAAGGATCCAGAAGATGGTTTGGGATGGCAGCTCCTTGGGAATAAGAGTCCAGCCTCTGGAGCTATCCCTGAGGATAGGACACTTATGTGCACAACTGTAATGTTAGTTTTCAAAAAGCAGCCTCAAGGGGCCATCGCCTGGGTTCCGCCTTCATCACCCATCTGTCTTTTGCAGTCTGCCAGAGTCAAATCACTTGCCTTCTACTGCCAACATCCCCAACACTGAGGGTCCTGCTGCAAAAGTATTTCTTAAACATGCTCATGTTTGCAAAACCACAAGGCAAAACAATTATGCTGTCCATGGAGAGGAAAATGCTGCACTTAGAGAGGCACATTCCCACCCTACCATCCTTCCTGTGTGGCCTTGGATGAGTCATACCCCCCACCCAGTTAGTCTCTTCATACATGCAGGGAGGACACTGGACCAATGGACCGCTGAGATGCTTCTCGTATTAAAATAAAAACTGGTGGTGTTTGGGGAAATCATTAAAAACTTGGAGGAGGAACACTTGGATGATGGGGATAAAACGACAGGTTTTGGAGGTACAGAGAAAAGAAAAAAACATCCAGAGACCCAGGATGCAGTGGGGAAGACACTTCCACAGCCTCAAGAGCAGCTTCTGCCCCACAAAAAACCAGGGTACATGGCTCCTCCCGGGGCAGGGGGAGGGGGGACAGTGCTGTGAACGTGAAGGCTCCTTACCCATCGTGTTGTTGGCTCGAGAACAGGCCGTGCGCTTCAGAATCTCATGCACCTGAAAGGGGACCACAGAGAGCAATGAGTGCCACGGCCACACATGTCACCATCCTGCTCAAGGGCCCCCATCAACCCCTCTCACACTGGAGTGCTTGGCAGAAGCAAAGAACTTAGCCCTTCACACACCAGAGATGAATAAGAGGCTCTGTGTCTCCTGCTGTTATAGGAACTGAAGCACAAAGGAAGCACATGGCCGTGGGAGGGCTGGGGAGAAGGGCCTAGGTCAGGATCTACTCCACACTGTGAGAGTCCTGCTGCAGGCTCCTGGGGAGAGCTGGGGGACCCTGGGATGGGGAATCCTTGCAGAGAGGTCCTAAGCCCATTCTCCCCTCAGAGCCTCCAAGAGAGCTGCCTGAGGAGCCCAGGAGACAGTGCATATGGAAATGTTTGCAGATGGTGAAAGGCCGCCTGCATGGTGGCTGGTGGTCTGCCTATTCTCTAGGCTAGTCCTGGGCCCTGGTCCTGCCTCCCCATCAGAGTGTATCTGCCAGCCCTCAGAGACCCGTCTTGTCTCCTGCTCTGACATTGCCTGCTGAAGGCCCCTGCATCTATCAGGTGTGCAGAACTCCCTGACTGCGCCCCTCCGGGGGCAGGAACCTTCTGGAAAGGGAAGGGATGCTCCCTGCCAAGGGACCTGGGACAGAGCTGGGTAGGCCATGCCCACCAGCCAAGTAGGGGCTCCCAGGGACCCCGAACCTGTGCCAGGCTGTAAGAAGATGCCAGGCAAAGATATCTGCTCTGGAACAAACAGAGTGCTGGGTCAGGCATCAACGAAGGGAGGGGACAGGAAGACATTTACATCTGCAGGTGACTCCTGCAGACAAAACTCACAGTGGAACAGATCTGACAAAACTGAAGGCCCTTGTCCACCTTCTCAGTATGGGGTGGACTGAGGAAAGGGCAGAGGGGTATGGAAAATGTTTCCAGAGAGATGAACAAGAGGAGATGTGTTGTCCCATCATTATTCGCACTCCCATACTCCAGCCACAGACTGAGGGGTGGTAAATAAATCACTTCCAGCAGAGTGGGGCCCCAGCGTGTTTGATTCTGCTTCTAATACAGCGCAGTAATTCAATAGCAATAATAATTAGGAACAGCATGTATATGCACTGCATTATTTTACAAGCACTTTGTAATTATCAGGTAATCTCCCCAACACCCCGTAACTCCCCTCACAGTCCTGGGACCCAAGCCACAGTGAGATTTAATGGCATTGTAATAATAGCATCAAAGAAAATGAGACGTTTACACCTTTTTCCATAGGAAGAAAAAGAAATCATATGTTCATTTTTAAACCCTTTCTAAAGCACAAGGCTGGGGGCCTGAGACATTTTCTAGCACAGCCTGAAAACGGGAGGTGTGACCATGTTTTTCCTGTGCTTTGGAAATGCTCTGAACAGTTCCTCGGTATCCTGTTCCTTCTTACTCTTCTTGGCTTGGTCTCGAACTCTTATTCTCCAGTGGAGATTTAAGCTTTCCCAGGGATCAGTGGAATAAAAGAGCAAAAGAAGTTCTTTCCTGGGGATCCACATTTCCCATGTGGGCATAAGGAAGTTCTAGCATTCCCTGGGGCCCTCTTCTTGCCCTGTATATAGGCTAACTGACTCCAGGGGGGTAGAGAATAAACTGATCAGTACATAGAGATAGTACATGACTCAGGATAGGGACATAGCTACATACAGGTTTTTATTAGAATAAAATTACCTAATTCAAAAACTTTGTGTAAACAGCAAAAAGACTAGAAGGACTTTTGTCATGAATATTATCTTTCTGTTGATTTGACTAGCAATTTTATTCTTGGACAAGTTCACTGACTAGCATTTTTTTGTAATGTGAATTTACATAATTCCTTGATACAGAGACGCAAATAAAAAAATGCGTACAGCACACAGTGGCCCAGCAATCAGAAGGACTGCTTCTACTCTTGTTCTGATACTAACAATCTATACCCAGTTTTTCAGCACTTTGCTTCTCAGACCCTCAGTGTCTTCAACTATAAAATAGAGGGTCACCTACCTAAATGGTAGGTAGCTCACATCATCTCAGCCTTTTTTGTGATTCTAAGAAGGGCTTCAGTGGGGAATCCATAAAACAGAGAGGTTCCTCTCAAACCTGGATGAGGGAAGTTGGTTGCTATTCTTGATTGCCAGAAGCATGGCGAAGCTCTTGGACGCACCTCTTAGTTGCTAGGCAACCTCATGCAAACAATGATGAGACAAGGCAGGAAGGGCAAGAGAATCCCCTGCCAACCAGCTGCTCTGCCTTTCTCAAACACCTTCCTAACTCAGCACATCCATTTACTTACAATGCGGCTACGGGTGGCATTGTCAAAGAAGGTATCCTTTTCCTGGATGTTGTACCTGTAGACACCAACAAAGCAAATGGCAAATAAGCTCCTTTCGTTAACCTTGAGCCAGGACCACTTCCATCCCCAACCCAGACGAATTCTTTAGAAAGCAACATGGCAAAACATATAAGGTACACATGCACGCCACAGTGTTATGGGTTTTTTTGGTGTTGGAGAACAAACCAAGGCTTCGTGCATGCTAAACACATGAGCTATCCCCAACTCTATATGCTGTTTTGACCTAATAAATCTGAAACTTACCATAAGTCTACGGCCATATCACTGTGAATGCACCTGATCTCATCCGAAAACTTATCCTAGGGGTTTTATGATAAACAATAAACTGAACAGAGGAAAACCTTACATAAGAAATTCATTGAAAAAGTAGTTCTCATATAGACTGTGGAGATAAGAAGCAATTCCATAACTGATATAATAGATTAACATTCAGTCCTTGACAGTTACAATCATGAACAATTGTAAATAGAAAAACTTACACCAAAATAGAAAAATATTACAATAAGTTTTCAAAACGAAGCCATGTAGGAAACACACCTATGTATAGACAGAGACAGTAAAAGTACAAAATATAAGTAAGTCTAGTTTCAGAGTATTGGGATTGTAATTCTTTTTGTTTTTCAAAATTTCATTTCATGATGTCACTCTTCTTGAATCAAGTAGATCAGTGAAGGCGAACCTTTAAGAGATGGGTACCCGAACTGTAACCCAAAACCCACTTATTTGTCACAAAGTGCCAATATTGCAATTAAACCTGAATACTGAGGTCTTAGTTTACAAAAACAACAATACATTAACATCTTTTTACTTAAAAGAAAAATAGTATGCATGTCATAGGTTCACTACCACTGAATTAGATACTAAACTCCTGTCTGTTCAGTACTTCATATATTGAACTTTTCACTCAAAAGAGGCATGCGTGGAGGGCTCCTCTTGCCCAGGGCAGCACGCTAGAGGACATAAGGTGAACACAGTTCTCACAGCCCCAAGAGCCACCAGCTCCTGGGGTTACAAATCTACAAGTGATGTGGACTAGAACATAGCACCTAAGAACCCAGAAAATGGACTTCTGGTAGGGAAAAATAGTGTTTTCCCAAAAGGAAGTGGCTCATGGACTGCCTTTAAAAGCAGCAAAAGGGAAGTGAATCAGACATGTGGGAGGGGCCATTCAAAGGCTAGGGAAGTCAAGATGTGAGATGTGAGAAAAGCCAGAATGCAAAGAGAATAAAAAAAAGAGAGAATAGCAGGAGCCAGGCATGGTGGTGCATGCATACAATCCAGCACTTTGGGAAGCTGAAACAGGAGGATCACAAGTTCAAGACCAGCCCAGGTATTATCTCTAAATAAATAAATAAAGGCTGGGAATGCAGTTTAGTGTAATAGACCTGGGTTAAATCTCCATTACCAGACACACATACAAAAAGCAGAGCAGCAGGCAAAGTGTCACCATGACAGTCAGCTCAGCCACTTATGGCTGCCCAGCCCTGGACTAACCTTGGACCACACTTTCCCATCATAGAACCATGGTTATATTGCGAGTCATCTCACAAAGGATGTGTGAGGTCTTGCTGAGGAGCAGCATACCCATGCACACAGAAGCGCTGCTCCACATGGCCGAAATGGGCAGCAGATGCTGTCCCAGAACCCAGAAATACTGCTCCTTGATGAGCACCTCCACGGGAAGACATCCTCTTGTCTTCTCTGCCTCTCCACGGCCCTCCTTGCCTCTCTCGCTCAATTCCCTCATCACCCCCAACACCACAGCTTTCCCCTTAGTTCCTGCAGCAGAACGAGTGCCTGACCTCTGCATCTCTCACTTTCCAGCCATGGCTCCTGCTTCCAGCTGGGTCCCAAGTGGCCAATGCTGTAAATGGGTTTGATATACTCTTCCTGGGTGGAAATGGGGGGCTCTTCAGAGTCAGCAAGTGCATGAATACGTAGTGGGAATACAAAAACCCAGAAGCTTCAGCCCCTTTCTCTCTGGTTTATCTCATCATGTCCAAACCCCATTAAATGGGGAACTGGGCAGAGGTTTCCCTGCAAAAGGCGGACAGGTGTCTATCACTGTCTTTTTCACAAAGCTCCACAGTGTACAGCTAGCTGCACCTTGGCTCTCCATCCATCAAATGGCAAGTGTCTCTACTGGATAAATGCTCAGGGCTGTTTGAGCTAATCTCACATGGGGATAGGAAGTCAGAGGCACAGGGAGTATTTCACTGTGAGAGCATGCTCCCTCCCCTGGTTCCTAGACATCCAGGTACTCACTGTGCGGTTCCACTTCCTCGTCCCCTCCCCCTCCCTATGCCTGCCCCAGCAGCCCATACTCACAGGTACATTTTCTCCCTGGAGAATGGGTAGGACAGGTTCTTCATCCTGTTGTTGCTATGCTCTGGAACTCTGGGCTGCAGTGGCGAGCTCAGCTTCTGCAGAATCGCATTAAACTTCTTCGCAATGCTGCCTCCTGCTTTGATCTCGTACATCTATGAAAAGCAAAGCCAGGGGTCTGAAAAGGGGGCCACAAGCAATACTTGGGGGGAAAAAGGACGTCATAACCAGAACTACACAGTGCACAGAGCCTTGGGAGGGATGGTGGATAAAGGAGGAACCTGGGAGAATCAAGAAGCAGGACCCTTCCTTTGCATCAGAGGACACCCTCTGTTAAGTGGGTGTCTGGAGGTGACAGTGCAGGAAACAACCAGAGTTTAGACTTTCTGCCTGTGATCTGACATCATCAGAAGAGAAACTCCAGGCCTACTATGTGACAATCACCACATCCCACTAGACAACGTTGGATTATTCCATAAACAACATCTGGTGCCTGACACGAAGTAGGCTCCAATGCTCATAGCAGCCCAGCAAGGTGGGTGATATTATTCTCATACTGTGCTGAGGAAATTAGGGCTACAATATGTGAGGTGGGTCAACAGAGGCCACATGGACCACAGTAGCTGCCAGAGCTTGGATTGAACTCAAGTCAATCTAATCCAAAATCTATGCTACAACTACACCATGTTTCTGTGACCACCCAGAATCACTTTGTTTCTCTAGGAAATGTCTGTACTTAGATAAATTTGCTTTCAACGTATCAAAGCCTTTCAATGTATCAAATATGTACAGGCATCTGCCCTGAGTAAGGCAGAGATGGACCACCTCGACAATTATTAATAACCACAGTACATACAGTTTTTAAAATAATGCACAGAATGCTTCTACCTACCTAATTATAGGTGCTTCTACCTATAATTTTGGGTCTTTCTAATTTGCAAATTAGTTACTGAGACACAGAAGTTGTACTTCTGATAGGAAAGCTATAATAAATTACTGGTGTCCATAAAATGCTCACATAGATTCTCCTTTTAGGCTTGGACAACAATGCCAAAATCCTAAAGCCTCCAGTGGACTGGAAGTCCTCCCTTCCAGTCCCCTCAAGAACCAAGGCATTCAGGAGCCTGGCCCAGAGGGGCGTGGGAAGGCCTGAACTTAGCTGGTGCAGATTCATAGCCCACCAATTGTCTCAGGGCCTGTTCTGGCAGAAAATCCAGCTGAGAACTTCCAAGCAGTTCCTGAGTCTCATCTTGGCACTTAGAGGAACAGGCTAAAGAGAATGGGCTTTCATGCTATGTCATGCCTGGCACAAGGAGTGGCATCTGGATATATTTTGACTTTTTATTTTTTGGCAGTACTTGGGATTGAACTCAGGGCCTCACACATCCTAGGCAAGCACTATACTACAGAAACACATCAGATATAGTCAGCCCCTTTTGCAAATTTTATTTTGAGACAGGGTCTCACTAAGTTGCCCAGGTTGCCCTTAAACTTGTGACCTTCCTATCTCAGCCTCCTGAGTAGCTGGGAGTAGATGTGCACCACTATGTCCAGCTATTTTGACTGTTGATAAGGGGTACTCCAAACCTCTAAAAGTGATATTATCATATTATCATCTGCTGTCAAGAAAAATGTGAAGGGTGTGGAGGGTAAAGTCTCCCCAGAAATCTCAGAGGAACATTTACTCCACGGCCCTGAACAAGCCCCACAAATGTTCCCCGGCTGAAGTACTATGGTGGATTTTGGTTGGACAGAGATTTTGCAGACTTCAGGGACTCTGTGTGGAATGGGTCCAGGCACATATGAACAGCAAGCCATGTATGGTACACCATACTACAATACCACGGCCACTGGGGTTGGGGGCAAGGCACTACTCACCTCCATGTCTTGGTGTATATTGTACCTACTCTTGGAACTTCCTTGCTCCTTTTATTTGTCTGGATAACTCCTACCTCTCCTTCAGCACGAAGGCCCACATGTGAACTTTCCCACTCGCTTCCTGTCATGCTTCCCAACCTTCCCATTCACTTCCTGTGGTGCTTCCATGGCTCCCTATGAAGGATCACCTGTACCATAAAATTTACCGTGGTTTACTCTTCATTGTTTACTTATCTGTCTCCAATTGTTGGTTTACTTGTCTGTCTCCCCAACAGACTGTGGACTTCCAGAGGGCAGAGGGTCCTCTCCTTGTGCCTGGCACACAGTGAGAACACAGTAATACTTGACTCAATGACCTAAGTCCTAGACCTTGCTGACACCAGCTGCATAACTTTGAGCAAGGCACTCTTCCGCATTGTTCCTTCACCTCTACAAAGAGCAGTGGGAAACTTCTGTTTCCCATCATGACAGAGGACCAGGGACCAGATTTGCCTTCTCACTAGAAAACCCAAAACATCCAAACAAAGTCCATAAGATAATAGTTTTCAAGTCAGTGGACGTCAGGCAACCAGGGGCTGCGACCCTAGAGGGACCTGAAATAGACAGGTGAGAGTGGAAGGGCAAACAGGCGGAGCCTAGCAAATCTTCCCAGTTAAGGAGACACTCACAAGTCTGGAGAGATCCAGGAGACTAAAATTCACAATACAGAGCACCCGAGAATACTGAAGGGCCCCAGGAACCCCAGAGGCCTGCAGAAGACCCTTCTTGCATCTTTAATAGCATGGATGTGAGGAAATTTCCCCAGACTGGAGAAAGCACTAACTGGAAGGATTGGGAATAACACCTCTTCCTACTGGCCAGAGAGCAAAATCCCATAATTCATGGGGCATCAGGTGATTTCAGGTTTACTGTGTAGTGGTGGATAATCAGCCTTAGACTTGAGTGCTGCTCCAGACCCACTTAACAAATCATAAAAGAGGGGAATGCCTTTCAAAACACCGCCCAAGTCTAATGTTCTATGACATTAAAGATTTAATGAAAGAGAGACTCTCACTCATGCACAAACACTTCCAGGCGCTGCCTGGAGGTCAAGTCCTGAGGTTGGTGTAGACTGTGCCAAGTGCAGAGAAGAGCAGGGGTGACAGAGACCTGCTGCATGCAGAAGAATGCCTTCCAGGATGTCCAGCACCTCCACGGGCAGGATCTCACTGGGGCACCCATGACAGGCTTGAGGCCTGTCTGTCTTAGAGATGAAAAACAGAGCTGGGAGGGGCAGAGGGTTGCCAGAGTGGATGAGAAAATCCGGCCTGGAACCCAGGTTTCTCCACTTCCCTGTCCAGGGCTCTTTCCTGGAGCCTAATGTCCTTTGGTCCTTGGCAGGTTCCTTTCCAGAGAAGGAAACAGGCTGGAGCTCCCTTCTCAGCCCCATCCAACTCAGCAGCCCAGACTTCTTTTGCCTTCTGTAGAACCCCAGAAAGTCACCCCAATCCTCTAATATTAATACAATCAGCAGTGGCATCATTATTACTGTTATTCTTGGACATCAGAGAATTATGAACATCCTCAGAAATGGAGAGACACATGTTAGCCAGCTGTTCTCCATTATGCCCTCCCTGGGTACACGATACGCCTTTCATGTGCTTAAAATCATAAATAATTTTTAAAGAATGTTGCTCTTATTTTTTAGTCCTAGGCTCAAATGTGGTTCTCATAAAAGCTTCCTTTGGCCTCACTGTCACAGTCTAAAGGGTTTACTGAAATTTCTTTTTTTCTTTACTTCTTTCTTCCTTCTTGTCTCCCTCAGCCTCTCCCCTCCAGAGGAGCACAGCAGTGTGGTCTGAGGGCTGATTTGTTTCCTCTCTACATTAAAATCATGTTGCTTTGCTGGGATGCAGGGAACCAAGGCTGTAGTGATGTTGGTTTTGGACAATGTACAAGTCACTTTCCTCATTTTACGTAAAGGAAATGAAGGCAGCATTGAAAGTCTTACAGTATGCCAATATCACACAAACATTTGCAGCCAGTGACGCCCTGGACTCATCTTGGGAGACAGGGACAGTCTGAAAGCTACCACACATCCTTCTGCTCTGCTTCCATTTCAAAAGGCTGAGACGCCCAGAGAAGTCTGGAAGGGGCGGCACATGGCACCTGCTGGACAGGACAGGAGGCTCTGTAGCTAAAGGATGAAGAGCAAGAGCAGCCAGATTGTAGCAGAACTGGTCTAGTGCTCTCTCACCCAGGTGGTATCCAAGGGACACGCACACATGCACTGTGCCACTTGGGGAGTCCCATGCTGCTGAACATATGTCCCTCCTCCTGCCCACACTACATTCACCCATGCAAGGACGTGCTAAGCCATTCACCAGCCAAAATGAAAACCGCACTAGGAGATGCTAAGAGCAGCTGGAACCTAGAGCCGAGAGAGAGACTTTCTGAGTGCACACCAAGAAAAGAGGCTGGCTAGGTCCCTTATCCCTACCTGTTGGGACAGGTAAGCTCCCCATCCATAACATTGCTATGGACAGGGACCTAGTGGCAAAATGCACATACTCTGTTGTCTAATTCTGCATTCGTTTATAGCTTCCATTTCTGTTGTCAGCATGTCCTCTACACACGAATGAATGTTTGCTGACATTTAAATTGGGGGATAAAATCCAAACTTTTCAAATTACATGGCTGACAAGGCCCGTTAGGAGCCCTGGCCCTGCCTCCTTCCTCTGCCTCAGTGCCTTCTGCTGACCCCACACACGCTCCTCTCAGTTCCTCACATGGGCCGGGGGTTCCTGGCCTTGGTGCCTAAGGACATGCCATCCCCCTCTCTGGGCAAATTTTATCTGCCACACCAGCTGCCAGGTTCCCACCTAGCTCTCAGCTCTCGTGTCTTAGCCCTGACGGCCCCTTCCCTCACTCATCCCGACCTGAATCACTTTCTTCTGGCTGGCTCTCTCAGCTTTGACCTCTCTTGTTTTTCTGTGGGTCCCTCCTAATTCATAACTAACCACAGAATGTCTGAATTCCACCATACAAAAGTCACAAGGGGCCAGGGTACAGTCATAGTCACTACTGCAGCGCAGAGTACCTGGTACTCAGGGATACTCTGTATAATGTTCACTGGGTGAGCTGTGCCACTCCTCCACAGGAACCAAAGTCACCACACATCTGAGACGCCTGCATATCCATGTTCACCATGGCACTGTTCACCATAGCTGAATCGGCCAAGGCCTGTCAACAGATGTGTGGATAAAGAAAAGGTGGTACATATTCACAACAGAGTATT